ATAGAACGAACATAAGCCGAGACATACCCTCGGGTTAAGAGTAAAAAATGCAAGACCATCCAAAAGAATACAAGAAAAAAATCCCACAACCTAAATCTCACACAGCTTCTCAGCAGGAGTTGGATTAAACAGAGAAAATAATTTCAATATCAAGGGATAATGCACACGAGCTGGGAAAACACTTTAAAGCAAACTCCGCGGTGAAGCGTGTTTCCCCCGCTCTCTTGGGTGAGGGAAGGGAGAAGAAGAGAAAGATAGATAATTAGGAGAACTATAAGGCCCTGGATTTGAGGTTTCTGAAACCATTTTTTTTCAACCCTCTGAGGACAATCAGCTATTTCTGAATCCAGAAAAGCACATCAGAAATGTTTGATGACAGCAAGACCACAGCCAAATAAGGCCGGGCAATCTGCAATTTGGTTCTGCGGTTTCCATTCTTTTTTTTCCCCCACACTTCAGAAATGCCTTCAGCTAAAGCTAAAAAATATAAAACCAAATTCCAGATCAAGCACGCTTTGCACGCCAGGAAGATAATGCCGGATCATATGGCCCTGCAGCAGTTGTAACACAGAGAGAGAGACAGAGAGAGATAGAGTAAGAGCGCGCGTGCGCACTTCTCGATGGAGACTCACACGTCAGCACGCTGAGAAGGCCCAGAGCAACTTCACCTGTACCTGTGATGGTCACCCAGCCTGGCCTCGGGTGACTGACCTTTACTGCTTTACTGACTTCTAACAGCCCAGGGTTTCTCATATGCAGGGCATTCGCTGGATTTTCCAATTCTTCATTCTACTTCACTCTGGTCTTACGGTCTATTATGTTTGGCAGACGTCAGGGTCATTGAGCACATTCAGAGTTTTGCTCCTTTGCATGAGCACTGCTGACTGTTCGCTTTTCTCAGCTAAAGCAGCTGTGTCTCTTATTCCCACCTGCACCGTGGTTGGTACCTGACAGTTGTGACAGCTCCACGGGTGTGCCTACCTGGCCGAGCTCCCGGCCCTCTGCGGCCCAGAGGAGTGGCAGCCTGAGTCCTCAGCGGGGTCTTTCAGGCCCAGTCTGAGGGTGGCTGTGTTTGCTGTCTCGGGGATGGAGAGCTGGAGAGTGGGACTGGCCACTGTGTGCATGTGGACCAGGACTCGCTTCCTGGGAGACCAAGTCTGAACTATTTGTACAGAGAATTTTGAGTCCCGGAAGGATGTCAAACTAAAGGATTCTGCCAATCTGGAAAGGATGGGTGTTTGCCTACACTGCTGTCAGAAGGCCCTATATTCTTAAGTGACTTGTGGGGGACTTTCAGTTCCAAATGATGGCTCATTTGGCCACAGTGCTCACTCCACAATTGTACTGAATTGATGAGCATTTGACTTTGCTTCTCGGGATACTGATGGGGAGGCTGTCATCCTTGGGACTGGTCTGGGACAGGGGAGTGGCCCACCTTTCTTGCCAGCATCCTGAGGCAAGTTCAAGTCTCAGCAGACTCACTAGCTAATTTCCCCCAAGTCCACCCCATTCTGGGTTCTGTCCTTTCTGGCAGAGGTGGAGCCTGCTGAGACTGGCTGGTCTTGCCTAGCTCTTCCTGGGACAAGTGCTAGTTTTGCATCTTGCAGCAGGGAACACGGTGGACAGCTTTAAAGCTACTTTGATCCCAATGCTTTCCAAGACACTTTCTCCCAGGTCACCCTCAATAATCACAGGAGGACAAATTCAGTGTCATTATAGCTCAATGCCAGTAAGACTACACAAACAGGCCAGTTGTTCTGTTGCATGACAGAGCAAAGCCCTTCAAATGCCCCAAAGCTTTTCATTAAACCTGCGTTTTCTAAGTACCAATGATGGGTCATGCCTTCTTGCAAGGAAGGCTGAGTGAGCAGGAAGAGATGTCAAAACTATTGAAGAAGCTGAAGCTCTCTGGCCAGTCTGTTGGCACTCTCTACAAAACAAAAATGGGGATCGGTAAGAAAGCCCGGCCTGAGATGCAGAGAAGAAAATCAGAGAAAACCTTCTGTTGATGCTGGTGCTGGGCTTGGCAGCTGCCCTTGAGCAAAAATAAACTCCCCATGGCAGTGGGACAAGATGCTGATATTGGCACCTGCCAGAGGCAGACAGCCGAAGTCGCAGCTGTGCTGGTCAAATGAGCTTGGAGACCTTAGGGGGCCGAGGCCTCGGTGACTATTAGCAGGCTGCGGTTCTCTGCAGGCAGTTTATTGAAATAGGGTTTGTGTGCCTTCCCCACCCCTCTGGGCTGGGTCTCAGAACAATCAGACATGCAGGTGGTGCATCCCACTGAATAAGCACTCTGCCTTGTCTTCTGGGAGGCAAGAGAAGCTCATCAGAGAACAAGGGAGCAGCAGAAGGATTCCTGGCGAGGAAAAGACAATCTTAGAGCTAAGAAGAGGAGCTCAGAAGAGGCTTGGGTAGAGGAACTTCCTATTTGGAGATTAGCATCACCTTCAGATGGCCTGGCTCCTAAGAACGGCTTCTCTGTTTTAAAAACAACAACAACAAGCACAAGAATTAATTTGGGTAGAACTAAATATAGAGTGATTAGAATGAAGAATTGTTGGACAAGGACCCTGTTTAATACTTAGGCAATAAAGAATAGGGTGGAGCTCAGGGCATCATTAATCAATACAGAAGAGAATGGAATCAGCCAATGTCTTAAGACAACTACCCTTGTGAAATGAAATGTCCTACAGAATACAGCCCGGGCTGGAGGCAGTGGCAAACACCACAGATTTAAGGCCTTTGCAGTGAGAATATTTTTCGGATGTACAGTCCTCAGGAAGAATTCTAGACAATAGACTGAAAACAAATGGTCAGTTGAGAAGCAAAGCTGTGTCAAAGTCAAGAGGTGTCAGATAGACACATGAGATACCTATGATAGGGATGAGAGAAAAACGTAGCTTCTACGGGCATCCAACCAAATTTCCAGCTGTTTTATTTTAGAGTTTCGAAGAAAAGAAATTTCTTCCTCTGTCATCCAGATATTATCTCTGCCTTCCTTCCTATAAAGGAACTGTTGCCTCATTCAAGGAACTCTGGCTGTTTTGTTAGAAGTTCCTATTCTGACCAGCAAGGAACATCAGCAAGGAACAAGACATGTGGCCTTGAGTGCACCTCAGCGCACCTTGATTTTACCTCATTTCGCCAAACTCTCCCAGCTCAGAAGGGCCTTGCTGCTGTCACTGTGCCCAGGGCAGTGGTAACTCACTTTTGTTGTCATTGCTTTTAGGTCTTTCCTGGGAAGATGGGTCTCACATAGTCTCATTTGCTTTATCAAAGGGCAGAGGCAAGAGCAGCAAAGATCACAGAGCATGAATCCAGGAGATCAAGAACAGCCTCGAAAGAGAATTAGAAAATGTGAATTCAGTCAAGTAGCCTTTTTCTGGCCCACGGTTTATTGATTCAAATAAGTCGTGCATGTCTAACTACATGAATGAAAACTTATTTTCCAAAAGACAGCTCCTCTGAGGCCACTGTTTTGTAAATAATAACAACAGAAATGCATTTATGCTGGATTCTAAGAAAAGAATTTGCTAATTATATAAACTCCCACTGCTCTTACATCCCTTTTTCCCGGGCACTTTACACTAACTCAGAAATGCTTTCGCTCTCCCACTTCCCTTGTACAGCAGATGGAGTGCTTGTGAGTGTCTGATTTAGAGGCGAGGAGGCATGTGGGAAACGGGAGGCAGGTGGAAGAGGCCCCTTCTCGAAGCGCGAATGCAAGATAGGAACAGTCTCAACACAGACCACATCCAAGGCTACAGCAGCTCTGGAGAAGCCCTGTCCTGTATTTGATGAACTCAAAGACACAGCTTCTAAGACATCATTTTTTACTACGGGATAAAGAATTGTTAAAAAAAAAATTAAATGGAAACCACACTCTTATTACATTCTGGATACAGTCTGCTATATACTTCATGAAAAATAACCTATGTAATTCTCAACTTATACTTTTTCTATTAGAGGTTTGGAAAAAATCAGGTATGGAAAAATAAATATTCAGTTGGCATTCTGAATTCCCTTTCTATATTGTGCACTTCCTCCTTCATGTGCTCTATTAAAAAGATACTCAAGCATACATTAGTCAAAGATATTCAACATCAAAGTGGAATGATGTGCTTCTAATCAGTTCGGCAGTAACGCCTTTTTTCTCTTTCTCTCTAAAATGAGTAGGGCATGGCCAGACTTGCTTGACCTGGGAGTCATGGTCTGCGTGGACGTCAGTTACTGGTTTTTATGTCAAATTCAACTACAATGAGCTACTTCCTACAAGAGGCTGAAACCTCAGCAGACAGACCCTATACTCAGTGGCACCCAAAATGTCCCGACTAAAGGACAGGAAGTAGTAAACCATTTTTGCTTTTAAGCACTCCAAGAGGAAGTGAGAGAGGTAAAAGATTTAAGTCATTCACCTGCTCCAGTATGGGGCAAATGATGGTGTTTCGGGGTCACTGTGTTAAACAGAGATCGCACTGAACGGCAGAAATCTTGCTTGGCTTGCTTTTGTAAGAATCTCTCTAACTTCTTGTCCTCAAACAAGATGCTTCCCCTTGTTTATTTAATCAGCAACTTATTTTCAAATTGAGGATTTGGTAACTCGAATATGCTTTTATCGCTGAAGAAAAATGAGATCTTTGTTGGTGATAGATGAGGCTTTTCAAAATTTAATTTACGTGTTGCATATCCATGCATCCTTCAATGAAGGCTGCCCTTGTTAGCACTAAAAACTCCCATTTCCTCTTTGGTCATCTGAAGCTAATTAGAGCTGCTGTTTACTGCGGACGTAATCAGTAGCTTTCTACAGTGGATCACATAGAATCAGACCCATACACAATCAGTCTGGTGGAGATACACAGAGATACCTTAATTAAAACAAAATTTGCTCTGTAAGAGATATGCCCTCATAGATGACTGGCATTCCAAATATTTTGATACATTTAATGTGTTTATTCAAAGTAAAAGTCTTTATGGATCTTTTCACTAATCAGATATACTTGGGTGCTTGGTGAATTTCCCTTGAAAACATTTCGAAGTGAGAAAAGTTGGTACTGAGGATTGTACATTTGTGTTTATTAACATTTGGATGCAAACGTACTTCGAACACCAATAAAGCTAAAAGACTATGCCTTGATTTTGGATTTCATAGATTTCCTCTCCCCCCCAGGAATTTGATTAATCTTACAAGGCAGATATCAGTGGGCAAAGGGGATCAGTACGAAACATGCACCACGAGTTTCCTCCGCCACCCCGTCCCCACATGGGAAGAAAGCTAATGCTCCCCGTACTCTCTTAAGGTAGAATCTCCTTTTTTTTCTTCAGTTTTGGAGAAACATGGTCATTCGTACTTGACCATTGTAGATTCTGAATCTCACCATCTAAAGCAGACTTCAAAAGTGCCCTTTCAGGTCGATATTGGTTTCAGGAAGAGCACAGTGGAAGATGACGTGCAGTTACGCAGCCAGATGCCGCATGGACAGTGTCCTGTTCTGCTTATCTGTGCCAACCAACTCATCTCACCAGACCTAATGTTGATCCTCTTGATTCAAACACCTTTCTTTTTTCACATGGTTAGTCACAGTCTGTCACAGAGGACACAGAACAAGATGCAAGCAGATTCCTGACAACCTTCGGGCCAAATTGTTCTAAGCAATGGCCATGACATCACAGGTTTGTAAAGAAAACCCCTAGGAAAAGAACTGTGTCCCCTGGCACGGATCTGCTTCAAAAAAGAGGGCAACACAGCCCTGCCCTGTCCCAATCTAAGCTGCCTTTGTCACATAACCTGAAAACCCAGGTGCTAGATGGTGTCAATGGCAAGGGTGCCATTAGACGGTGCAGAACATTTACAAGTGGCTGCTGGTCTCCACACAGGTATGCATGCTCGCATTTCAAGAAATGATAAAAGACGATGCTTGGCTGTTCTGTTCCTCCAGCCTGTCCACAGTAACGTGATACAGAGCGTTCTGCTTAAGCACAAGGCTCCTCAGAGTCTGCTTTTGAAGAGCTGTATCTGTGAAGTTAATATTGGAGCTTACGCTACTTAGGAGAGAAAAACAAGCTCCATGAATTTGTATTAAACCATCAGTAAAAAATGAAAACAGTATCATTACGTCCAAAATATAGAAAGCCAATAGTTGAAATCATTTAGTAGTAAAATTGTTTTTTTCTACATATAATCTCAGGTAAGGAGTATCAGAGCGACACTTCAGCTACATTTGACTCTTGTTAATTTAAGGGCTTCACACTCAGGTAAGGCCTAGGAGAGTGTCGTCCAACGATCGAGGTACTGTGAAGCTGCAAACTCATTCTCCCTCTCTAGTTGACTAAAAGATAGATACTATATTTGGATGTGACAGGTGTTTTCTGTTTTGTAGGAGAGTGTAGAACTGTTCACAGTATATAAACATTAGCACGGAAAATGCTAGTATATATAGAAAGGTGAACATCGGTACAAGTTTGTGTCCACAAAGTCTACTCTTGATGAGAACTTCCGCTTCGTGGCAAAAAAAGCTTGGCATCTATGTCAGGCTACAGTTTATGTCATCAGAAATCAAAGCCATTACATGAGATATGGAGGATTCTTTAGAAATACTAACTCCTTCCCTAGCTAGTAAATGCCAGAATTAAAATTGTTACAATCATCATCATCATCATCATGAAAAATATGGCCCCAGTCTGCTTTACAGCCAAATTTACAAACCATCCCTTTAAAATACAGCATGCCCCAAACCTTCTGAGTCTGGAATGTGCACTGCATCAGGGTTTCCACAGATGTCCCTAAGGATCACAAGAAGCTTTCTTAAAAACAAAAAAAGTTCCAGTTGGATGGAACTGTTTCTCAACTGAGCTCCTAAAACTGGAATTTCAGATATACAAGAGGACAGAAAACAGATAACTTGGTTTTTGTCTTTTTACATGTCCATACTGTTTTTTTTTAAATGCAGCTACGATGTTTCTGTCAAAGATAAAGATAACAGGGCGGACAGAGTGGTTACCACCAGCCCCAGCAGTGGGCTCAGACCGCAGCTTGGAGGAGCGGCCATCGATTTTGTGGTTATGTGGCTGGAAGGACCAGGGAGACCATTCTTTTCATACTCATGCTGCAAGAAAGAATATTTTCATTATCAACCACCACTTGTATTCATCCCACCCCGGCATATTTTAACTACACTCCTCTCTCCCACTTCCCACTCACTGACCCAAGATTTTACCACTGAGATTTCTATTCTCTGACTTGTAGTTTTATGGGAAGGAACCATGAACCTGGGTGAGAACCGGATACTTTTGATAAACTGGCCAAGGCTTACTACTCACTCTCTCATTATGGATTATTAAAATCCACTTGTGCGGGGGACAATATTTGAGCTCAGGTATCCCTCCATTCTTCACCCCTCTCTCCAGGTCCCCCAGTAACTGTGAAACCTGGATCCTTCTCCTGGGTACCACCAACTGCGAAGGAATATTTGCTGTCTCTCCATGCCATGGAAGAAGGGCAGGAAGAACCACCTCAGGAAACTTGCCCAGTCAGGTGACAGTTCATGAACAGATGGCTCACAAATAGCATCAGAGACAGGCAGAGCAGGCAGCAGCCCTTCCCTCCACCAGCCAATTCAATTCTAGATTTTATAGATGAGTAGTCAGAGAGAGCAAGGAACTGCCAGGCTCATCAGAGGGAGAGCCCAAACCAGAACCCAGGCTTCCGGACACCCATCCGGCACAGCTTCCTTCCCCAGGATTGACTCCTCCATCCCCAACAGCAGCACCTGCTCAATCCCTTAATGCCTCATCCCACACAAGGAAGTAGGATCTGCACACAGCAGAATTTTCTCCTCACCTGTAAAGTGTGGACAGTAATGCACCTACCCTACCTATCCACCCCTGGGCTCTGGAGGTCAGAGGAACTGTAGACAGAGAACATCTGGTGAGCAGTGACAGTTTTTACGTATCTGCTCTGAGCCAGATGACTTTACATGACTGGCTGCAGAGAGGCTCACGGCGCTGGAACAAGGGTATTGGTGCAGGGGCTGGGTTCTGAGCTAAAGATCCCAGGTTCCACGCTTACTTCTAGCTTTGTGAACTGGGATCCAAAGTCTGCACCTTGCTCGAAGGGCAGACAGACATGAAGGGTGGCTTCTATTTTTTCTGGACCTGAAACGTTTATTTTCTTTGAACCCTTTATATAATACCCTGCCCCAGGGGCCCCAAAACTATGTCTCTACAAATGTAGGGAGCCCCCACAACTACCATAACTTACATCAGAAATGCAGAGGTGTGTACTTCCCGACATGTTGGATTTCAGCTTCTGTGCCTGCAGAGAGACAAGAAGAAAAAAGCTCAAACATAACATGGAAGAGTAATGACTGATGATCCATTAATCAGCCGTCAGGGAAGTGCTATCCGATAAATATATGAGCCTCAACTGTGAGCCCGTACATAATTTAAAACTTTCTAGTAGCCACAAGATAAAAAGATAACAGGAGAAGTTAATTTTAATAATATATTTTATTTAACCCAATATATTACCATTTCAACATGTAACCAATATAAAAAAATGTTAATGAGATCCTTTACATTCTTTTTTTTTCATACTAAGTCTTCAAAATCGGTGTGTTGGACATGGCACATCTCGATTCAGATTTGCCCCATTTCAAAGGCTAGTGGCCACTGTAGGGGCAGCAACAGGACGAGCTTACTAAAGAAAAAGGTTAGAAGTGCGCACTCATTTACACTTCTGAATGTTAATTTTGAGAGAGTACCTCCTTCTAGGTAAAAATATCACAATAAAAATCTCCATTTGTTAGTAATATAGAGAGAGGTCTCTCTGAAGTTGTTTGTTAGTTAATTTGTTTATTTGGTGCTTCAGTCAACAAACACTCACTGAGCACCTACCATTTTCCAGGACTGGACATGTGGCGTTGAACAAAAAGGATGCGTCCCATGGGCTTAGGGAGCCCCCTTCTAGTGACTGGGGACTTCACTGTCTGGGGACTAAGGCACAGGGCAGGGACCCTTCTGGATGGGTACCCGCAAGGGATCATGCAGGGCATTACAGATCCCCAATCCAGCCATTCGAGGACTGCTTCCAGGGCAGCTGCAGGGGGCTGAGCTAGGAAGGCACAGAGCTCCCTGTGTCCCCTCAACCGGAACAACTCTCCACTGGGCTTCTGCCTGAGAATTTAGTTGAAAGAAAGATTATATTGTGCATCTGCAAATAGGATGACCGCTGGTTAAGCGTCACACCTGAATCCATGAGTACCGGGCAGCCAGCTCTGTGTGGATGGCACTGGCAAGCTGCCTGTTGCAAGACTTTTGCAACTCGTTGAAGACACGCTAGGCTGAAATGAGAGCATACTCACCCAAGGAGTAATTTATTGACCATAATGCTGCTTGGGAGGCATCATAATCTTTACTTATATTTGCATATGCCAGCTGTGAATATGAAATAGAAACCTTTAAACAGGCATCAGGAATAAGACACTGAGAAGCATCCCTGGGCTGTTCAAAGGTCACTAAATGTTATGTATAAGAAGATCAGAAGAGAAATTGGAAGAGGCATTGAACCTGACTCAAAAGCCTACTTTTAATCTATATTAATGGCAGATCTGGCCACTGCATTGTTACCTATAGAGAATAACGTGTAGAACTTCACATGTTTTATTTCTGTTCAAGTTTGGAATTGAGCCCAGAAACCAAAATGGCTCTAAAACATCACATTCTGCCTTTTCTAGGCCATAATCTACAAAAGACATAAACCTTTTCTAAGAGCCTTTGCATAACTAATAAGTTTACTAAATTGCACAGGGAAGGCAGCATGACTTCTAGATGGGGACACTTTATGCCCTCGAGTTGTTTCTGAGCTTTTGGTCACAGCTAAGCTGCACCTTAGTGTCCTAGACCACAGCAGCCTCTAAGAATTCTAAGGGCTGGACAGGCCTCCTTCCTACTTTGTTCTGTATGAATTAGCACCAGCAAATAGTGTTTTATTCATTGTATACACAATCCGTGGCACTGGCTCGCTCTACTGCGGGAACCTGTTGAAGCACTAGTATAATCCCCCCACTATTAAATGATTGTAAAGGGGTTTTCATCAGTGGGCTAGAAAAGGCCTCCAATGTTAACAGGTTTTCTTAAGTGGACTCTACCTGCACATTAGGTGGGGTAGATTTCTGACCCTCCTTAGTCACTGAGGGTTTCACACTGCATAGTGGATTTATAAGCCTTCAACCTAGCGGATATGCACTGGTCTAAATTCACCAGCTCTTGGTCTCTGTCTGGGAATGGCTGGGGTATCGCTTCAATCACATAGGAAAATGCACTTAGGCCAGCTCCAAGGCTGTGAAGTCTCTGGGCTGTTGTTCCCCCAAAGTGGGTATCCCCTTGGCCTGTATATAAAGGAAATGGTCAAATTCTAGCCTTGTAGGCCCATGGGCTGGACTAAAGCTGGAAGCAGCAGCCCCCAAGCTCATCTTTCCTGGAGGACCGTTCTGGTTGGTATGACTGGATGAACTGCTGAGTCCAAGTGAGAATGTGCAGCCAGGCCCCTGCAGAGGCTCTGGGACATGCCTTCCTCTCCTGCTAGACACCTGCCCAACCCACAGAACCACTCAGTCCTCCAGAGGCTAGCAGTCCACAGTGGGCCTCGAAATGCTCTGTTTACACAGCATGTTTCCTAAAGAGCGGTCTGGGCGCCTGGGGAAGCCACCAGGACTGCAGAAACAGAGCAGAGCAGCCCTGGAGTTCCACCTGAGCCTAGCATAGGCCACCATAAACCTGCGAGTCTGATGAGAAGGTGAAGGGCAAATGTTACCCGTTACTGGAATGGTAGGTGGCACAGAGGTAACACAATCAAAGGATTGTACAGAGATGTGAGATCTTTCTAAATCTCTCACCAAACCAGATGTGGGCCAGAGTGGGTCTGCTGCCTAGACTGGTTGGGGTCAACAATGGACAAGTCCCTCTCACAGTGTGTGGCTGCAGATGGAGGGCAGGGCCTGGGAGACAGAGAGGCAGACCATGTGTGTCCTGCTGGCTGCACGCTTATGAGTCCTTCATGCAGTGTAAACCCCCAGGGCCCACCGAGGGTCAGAAACCTACCTACATAGATCCACAGTCCACTTAAGAAAATCTGGGTCTTAAAACCCATTTTAGAAGCCTGAGAAACCTGTTATTTCTACATTTTAAAGGCTTTTATCCTGAGCATTTTTGAAAACATTATCAAGCTATCAGTGTCTTGCTAGTCAGGTATGATAAATGCAAATAGATAAAATTACAGGGCGTCCCCTGCTTTCAACTATTGCAAAGAGTACTTATGCACCTTAAATGCTGTCTCAGTTGCTGAAAATTGGGACAGTCCCAGGAGAATTAAAAGGAAGAAAAAGAAACAACAACTTCTGAGACTTTGTAAGGTTTAAGGGAAACTAGAAGAACACCTTTTATCCCTAAGTTATAAACCGGTAAAACCAAGGGTGTTATAATGGAAGCGTTGGTATGGTGCTCTTCTGTGAGTCCTGCAGCCCTGCTAATTATGGGATATGCAGGGACCCAACACAGAGCTTAGCCAGTCTTTACCTATCTAGACACCAAACCTTACAGTTCATGGTTTTAAAATATGATATGTCTTTTACAAAGAGATAAAGAAGAGGATGTATTTTATTGTTCTCAAAGTCAATTTGAACCATCGCTAGATTATATTGAAAAATGAATTATTTAATCTCTTTTATGAAAGAGTGTTTCCTAACATCTAATTTATAGTCATAGAGTTTGGGGAAAACTGCCTGACACTGAGTTGGGGGAAAATGCTGCCACCAAAACATCACACCTTGAAGTTTTCGTCTTGAGAATGGGATGATGGAAAGCATACTAGAGAAGCCTATCCCCAAACTAGGAGCCTTTCCCGCATTCTAGAAAACCAGGGAAACTTGTTCTTTAGGCACCTCCTAAGCCTTGTTCATCCAGCAGCTGTTGCTCTGCTGTTATAAAATTGTCACTGGCTGTAATCCTCAAGTCCAGGCACGTTGCATGAAAGAATTTCCAGGGCACTGTAATTGGGAGGCCAGACCTCGCCAGTTCCTGGCACCAGAGGGTTAATAAATGCATTAGATGCTGTTAACCTCTGTTACCTGGAGTCAGAGTGGTGGCTCTCCTGCTTTTTACCCCAGTGATTAGCATTTGGAAAGCCTGCCTTGGTGCCAACAGCCTTCCTGTGCAGAACACAGATGCACACATCATTTGTAGCTCTCAGTCAAGTCCCCACATGAGATCTGCCCACAGTAGGCTCTCCCCGAACTTCTGGGGCAGGTCAGGCTTGCAAGCAGCATGCTCGCTCTGATTATGGAATTGAGGACTTAAAAGTGTACCCACTTGGAGCCTGGCCTTTGCTGCCCCAGGACTCCATTTCTGTAGAGAAGCCAGCGTTTCATGTCGGGTTTTTAGGCAGCTGTCAGCCAGCAGGGCATGGAACATTTCACCACTCTCCTCCATGCATAAGAAAAGCCAGTTTCTGCTCTACCTCCAGAAAATAAAACCAGAGGAAGTTGCCCAATCCAATAGCAACAGACTGTCCAGGCTGCAGCCAAATAGTCATAATTAATGATGCTCTGGTTCTTTTCTCTCTTGCTTTACTGATTAGAGAGATTTGCTATATTAGGAACCTGTTTGCTTAATGACAGAATACAAGCAATAAACAGAGAAATACACAGACTGTAAAATGCAATCAACTTTGCTCTCCAGCACTAAGTACCTAGCTGCATCTATCACACTTGTCAATAGCCGTTTATTAGCATATGAGTCTCTTCTGCAGCATAAGCTGGACCTTTCCTAGGGAAACCATTGCATGGCTTCTTCCCAGAATAGTCCAGAAGCAAAAGAACTCAAAGTCTTTTCTCCATTTAAATCTACATATCTTACGTTTCCTTGTAAGATGGAACATAAGAAGAAGGATGTGCACCTAATTCCAAAGGACAACTAAGCAGAGGAACCTGCTCCAGAGTGTACATTTTTCACATTGCATTATTAATCAAACAGACTCACCTGATTATAGGCTTTTACGGGTAGTACTATATAACAACTCTATTGTGTACTTAATCCATATTTGCCCAAATTAATTTCTGCACATATAAAGAAGACAGCACAAGGCAGCTCCTCGGTAGTGAATCCAGTCTAAGTAATGGTCTGCCCAGGGATTTGCTGCCTTATATTCTTTTTCAGCTTTTTAGATTTTGCCCACTAGTTTTGGGGGGAGCTGGGAGAGGTTTTATTGCTGGCCTGGTCACAAGCAGTTGGCCAGCCTTTCTAAAATCCCTGCCACTG